GCTCCCCATGATAACTTAGGTCTTAGCAGGTTTATAATGACACCAATCGAAAGAACATTTTTTTTCTTTATCTAATGATATACGAATTAGTTCATTTTCAGTTGTATTTCTCTTTATTAACGGATTGTTTATAATTTTGTGTTGCTGTCTGTCCGTCTGTCTGTTCATCTGTCCGTGTGCACGATAATTCATAACTGAATAATATCTGTCACTTTATGTGTGCGGCGAGGTGGCGTGAGCGGGCGAGCGCTTGGCGTTTTCGTGCGACTTTGAGCGGAGAATGCGTTTGTCTTTGTGCGAGTAAAGTCTGCCATTTTTATTAAACATTTACAACAAAGCGAATCTTATTTTATTTACAACATTGGGAAAAGAAGAAGAGATACACATTGACATTCGCTATTTTGTGTCAACATTTAATGGTACTGTTCATAGAAAATCGTGAACAAAAGTACCAGTTTCCATACGATTTTTTGACAAAAAAAAACCCGGTAATTTGATAACTATGCAAAAAATTTAACTGACTAACCTGTTGAGAAGCGAGATGTTTTAGTTTTCAGTCTATGAATTTAAACGTTTTTCGTATTTAACTTTTTTCTCAAAGTTTTCAACTTGTAGGTACCTATGTAATATTACTACTAGGTAATTTTTGTGGTGATGGCATTTTCAAAATTTCTGTACATAAAGTCGAATTTGTGGTTGAATTGGAGTTTTCGCAAAAAATGTTGGAATGGGGTGGAATACGTCTCGTTTCTTTGAACGTGTGATTGCAGTATGAGGTAGAAGGGCCATCTTCTTTGTAATTTAAATCATTTTAATGATAAAAAATAACATGGTTACCTTGTTTTGAGTAAGGCAAATGAATTGAATTGATTGTCAATAACTTTCGATTGCCACTTTTGTAAATATCACATGAATTAAAGTGATTTTATATTTTAATTCTTCATCGTCTAGCCCGGCAATAACAGAATTTCCACAATTTATTTTCCTTGCCGTCATTCGAGGTTTGTTTTTGATAGGAAATTTAAAATAACTAATGTTTTTAGTTTTCATTATTTTATCAAAAATTCGTTAATAACTCCAATTAAGTACCAAAACCATGTTGAGCCATGAAAATTTTCTAAAGAATTGACACAGACGTAGTGGGACGCTCATTAAAATTCATGGAAAACAAATATCGCGTAGGTACAGTAAATATTTCCGCCGTCGTTTATTATAAATTGTTACACTTATGAAATAAAATACGAATAAGTTCACTCCGATCAATTTATTACGATTTACAAAATAATCGGTCCAACTCTATCGTGGTTACAATTACGACTAACCTATAGTTTTACACACCCTTTCGACCCTGCTACCCAGACGGGTTTTTATGCTTCCTTCTTTCATAGAACATTTAGTTAAAACAAAGACAGTAAATAATCCCTTATGTCAGTATTCTAATTAAATTACCCTTAACGAAAAATATAAAATGCCTAGACGAGAATAGGTCCTTTGTTAACTACTTACATTCTAGTTTCTTAACTGCTATTTATTACCTATACTAATTATACTTATTTATATTAGGAGGGCACACACTAGTAATAAAATGCTTTTTCCTCAGTGAGTAAATTTCACAAAAAAAATTATTGACAGTTGTCATAAACTGATATGGATTTCGAATTGAATAACGAATAACGAATTTTTGATAAAAAAATCCGATACAACTGAATACCGAAATTCGAACGATCCTCGAGATCACGCATCCATCATTTTTACAACGCGCGGACGCGCCTTAAGGGGTTGATTCTGTCCCGCCAGATCGGAATAGCTTGTAAAACAAATTGTTTGAAACGGAGTTAGTTTGACTTTTATTCGAGGTGCCTAGATCCAAAATTTCGCTTAAAAATCTTAACAAAAAAACAAGATTGCGCATGCGCAAAACATTTTTTTTGATTCGGCGTTAGTTTTACTTTTAATCGAGGTAAATAAAGAAAATTGGGATTGTGCAAATGCAAAAGTTGGGTTGCGCGTGCGCAATTTTTTTGTATTCATCTGCATAGTTACCTGGTGCTTAAGGGACATTTACTAACACAGAAAACTGGGCATTCACATGTTCTTTGTAACAAGAATTATAAAAGAAGCACTTTTTTGGAGATTTGAGCAGTTTTTGGGCTGTAATTTGTTGCCCCGTTAGTCTACGTAGCTGAAAACGACCTTTCTTATGGCTTAAGAATAGCTGTTTCAATTTTCAAAGCGATTGGACTTTTCTATACAAAGTTATTCAGTTATGAGTTATCGTGCACACGGACAGACGAACAGACGGACGGACAGACAACAATACAAAATTATAAACAATCTCGAGGATCGTTAATAATGAGAAATACAACTGAAAATGAAACTAATTCGTATATCATTAGATAAAGTAAAAAAATCTTCTTTCGATTGGTGTCATTATAAACCCGCTAAGACCTAAATTATTAAACATGGGGAGCAACAATCTGCAAAAAACCTTTTTCACATTTTAATTGCCTATGTTCGTTTTTGAAATATTTTTATTTTATGCCCGTGTATATAATAATTTAGAGGTACTTTTAGCAGAGCAGTGCAGGAGCTGCGCTCGGAAAATCGTACCTTCCAGCGTGTCTACCGAGACCTTAGCAACATCACGCGATCGGTAGAGTCAATGAAGGATAAAACCTGCCCCTCCCCAACCCCCTCTTTTGATAAAGGGTCGGAAAGAAGGGCGGTAGTGGCCAAAAAACAGTTTCTTTTGTTGAAATCTTTAATTAGAATTTAGAATACAATGCAAGATGATAAAATTAATTTCTATCCCCTCTCCCCGGTCACCTACTGATCTCGAAAAGGAGTCGCGTAGGAAAGTTATAGTTTGTGAGACCTTTAATTAGAATACCATGAAGGGTAGAACGTGCCCCCCCCCTCCCATTCTCAAAAATTTTACTTGGCACCAATAAAGGCATGCGTATGCAAAGTATGAGACAAAGTTATGTACGTTTTACTTTCAAAAACAGTATCTCAGGGAATAATGTATGCCCCCCCCCCTCCTCCATAGAAACGGCGAAATTTGATAACCGTCTGGCACACCTTGAAGGTATATGTAGCATATACGTAGCGTATTTCAAAAAACTCCAGGACTCTAGGACCATTCCCATAAAAGTAGTTCAAAATCGGAGAAGTGGGTCCGGACGGACGGACAAAACGCAAACAATAGCACGTTTTTTTCATTCTTAAAAAATGGGTTAAACACGATGTTTCAGGCCTTGCCTAGGCGTGACCATTGTGAGATTTCACTCTCTTTTTAAACTCCGTTTTGTTCGTTTAAGGTCTCCAAATCATCCTCGGTCAGTGCCGATGGGCGCCGTCAAGGACTTGAAGCTGGTCAAGTCTAGGCAAGACCTGAAATATATCGTTGTTTACCCTTCGGAGGAAAAACGTTGAGTATTTCATGTCTGTGCCGACGGCTTGACCACAGTAGACGTGTATGGTTTGTGACGACGGGGAAAGGCGCACTGTGAAATAAAGTAAAATCATGAAATCCCACTTTTCCTCTATAAGTAATAAACAGATGATTGAGATGTGCTTGACTTTTTCTTCTTATCGCCGAGAGCTCAGTTCAGTGTAAAGGGTCTAATGCACGCTCCGATACACGTGACAAATTCTAAGCCGATTGTCGAACGGAGCTTTTATCCGTCTTAGAACCAAACTCTGGCCAAAAAGGGAGGAGATGAGTTCCATCTTGAAGTGCGCAGGGTCAATACGTAAAGGTCAAATCATGCATTCGTAGTTCCGAGGCGAGCAAAAGAATCAAGGCCAGACGACGAAAAACAAACTGTCCTTCTCCACCCGTTCATGGCGCATCCACGCCCCCACTAGGACAGTTTGACTTTTTGGTCACGATCTACCTTCTTCGGAAGAGAAGTAGCTTCTGGATTAAACGCTTGGGCAATACCTACCGTGGAAAACTCGTTTACACACAGGCCGAAAACTCGAACGGCCAGGCCGTTAAGATACAGAGACAACGCACTGCTCGGAATGAAAATTACAGGCGTACTGATCAAACCGCGCTCTCGGTAAGAGGGGGGAAGAGAGGATGTTTAGAGACCTTAAACTCACAAAACGAGATTGAAAACGGGGGGCAGTGGTTAAATCTTACTATGCCCAATCCGACGACACAGCAAACATAAAATAGTCGGTTTTTGCTGGTCGTACGAGAAAGTGTAACTTGATTAAGTAAGTCTTGATCCCCGTGTCATCGATACCACGTCAGATAATACCCCGGTTAAAAATAGGGGTGAAATCCGTTTTTATTAGAGCATTTTTTAAGAATTAGAAAAATTTTAAAACGACGGTAAAAATTTGCTGCTTTCAAGCAGCTCACATTGTGTCATATCAAGTAACGCCTAAAACCCATTGGTTTATATAATTTTAATAGAAATTTAAATTGTATAAAATTTGCAAGTGTTTCTTTTGATAAATATGTATTGCATTATTTTTGTAGTCGTTTTTGAATGAAGCTACGCAGGTACTACTATTCTGCACATTTTTTATACATGCAATACTTATATACAATATACATATATTGTATATTCTATTGGTCACTTCTTTTGCCAAAATTGTTATTCGCTCACCAACTTTGTTCGGACAATTTACCCACCAAACTGACCAAAGTTTGAGGCTTCAAACACATCCCAACTTACCTAAAATGCAAGTAATAAGTCAATGAGCTAAAAACTGCCCGAATGTTTATTGGCAAGCGTATTGCTTCAATGTAAATCAATACAACACATCCTTCATTTAGGTAATTATTAGATATTATATTAAACCAATTGAACTTCTACTGACTACCATTCCCTTCTCAAATGACAACAGTTCGCAAAACAGAATGAGTTCAATAAATGGAAAATATTTTCACGACTTCAATTGCAATGAATGGTTGATATTTTATTCCTTTTTTTAATATCGCGGAAAAATGCTTATTATTCTTTTTTTTTGACATATCGACCCGACGACGCCATGGACGGCTAGCGTCGGCGCACAAAATTCCACTCATCCAAATCTAACATTCGGGGTACTTCTACATCAGGTTTTTAGACAGTTGTACAAATTTATTGCGCCCTTGAATATCACACGATATAATGCGGTAAGTCTCTTTTACAATAAATATTTTGCCTTCGTCACGCGATTTTGTTCAAAACAAGTTGACTTGCGAAAATAGTTACTTTAGGGGTGTCCTTCTACGACTTGCCGAAATTTGTCTACTACGTAAAATCTCGAAATTAATTATATCCCGTGCACATTACTGTATTTATTCACAAACCTGCCCTTGGAAATAGACATTTTAAACGCATGTAAAATTATATTTTAATTTTGCCGACTTAATAAGGGAATCCACAGGTTTCAACATCTACGTTCTACTTTAAAATCCATCCCTACTGTCTAATTAAACATGTGATCTTTTAGGGTGTTAAATCACACATCGAAGAAGATATGGAATCCTGGCGTTATTATTATTTTCATCGCGATTATAGGAACTGCAAGTGCTCAAGAAGACTCATTACAAAGTGCTTTGAACGCCGTTAACAGACGCCAAAGGAATCTCTCCCCCGACTACAAAAATTTTTATACCGAAGGAGGTTTGGGAAGATACTACCCTCTCGATGATAAGGATGAGCTTGCTTTTTTGAAACCAGAAAGCGAACGCCATGAAACAGGTAGGTAACCTGTTATTTTGAAACAATTTTGCTGTTACATAATCCTCCTCCCTCCCCTTCTGAAAATGTAATCAGCGAAATTTGCGATTTAGTTACTGTGAAGTCAGATAAGTTTCGTGCTTTAAATTTTTAAAAATGTACAGTGTTTTCTTTTATAAATATAAGATTGCGAAATCTCCCATTTTTCCAAAGTCGCATAGTAAATTTTATTGACCACTTTGTACGAAATACCCACGCATTCGGTTGGATAGAATTTAGTTTTGCACCATATTCTTGTCAAAACCAATTAGTCAATGTCAAACTATTCAGCAGCGCCCACGATATGTAAAATTCAGAAAAGAGACATGATGAGTTTACTCATCCTATCTCAACACAGTTTTTTTAAACTATTTTTGGAGAGAAGGCAATTCGGACGATACTGGTTCAAAAGTCTGGCGATTTACAAAAAGTGTAATTCCGTCATTTGCCCCTCCCTACAAGCTCCAACATTAATTTGTAGTACGTCGGTCCGCTGTACAAGTAAACAAATTAATCTTACTTTCTTTGCCTTAAGGTTTTCCATTTGCTATTTTCTTCTCTGCAGATATGCCTGATTATGAGAAGGGGAATGAATTTAACGGAAGGAACCGCTTTATATCTTCGTTTCGCGAAAGAATAGACCAGAGCGGGGACAGTGGAAAAGATGCATTTGAAGATAGCTTCCTTAACCGATTAGGAGTCGAGTCCGAAAAGGACGATAATGATGATTTATTAGATGTAATTCACCGACGCTACCAAAAATACTACGGGCGGTATCCAGAATTCTATGAAGGTAGTGCACAAGAAGTCAGGAAACGTGGAGATTATTCCGAATACTATCCCACGTTAACCAGTTTGGGTTATGGAAGCGTTGGCTTAAGAAAAAGAAGTAGATACGAACCGAACGACTATTACCTCAACTACGCCCCTAGTGATGAACTCTTAAATGGAATTCCAGACGACAAGATCGAGCGCTTGTTAAATTACTACAAGTGGAACCGCAATCCCTACTTAAAAAACACTAAATCAAATAAATTGTCTTCGTGGTACTCTGTAGAAAAACGCTTTCCTCTCTCGAAACGAAGCAATCCCCCACCCCAAGAGCACAAGACCTCACATGACAAAACTACTCGAGTTTTGTCGTCCACGGATCCAAAAGTTGCCAAAGAATTAAACAGCATATTTGGCAATAGTAAAAGCAGTTCAGAAAATAAATCTGAAAAAAATGATAAACCAACAAATACGGTAGAAAAGGAAACACTAAAGAAAGAGCTTAATGTATCTGACACGAAAAACACTTCCAGAAAAAAAGAAACGGCCAAAAATGAGCCGGTTTCCACAGCAGAAAACGGTGAAACCCTTCAAATTAAAAAGAAGTCCATCGACTGGTCCGACTACTTCGGTTACGATCGGAAGAAGAAGTCCAAAGATGACATGGGAAACGAGTGGTTAATGGAACGTTACCACAAAGCAATTGCGATGGCAACGAAAAGGAATTTAGACAAACACGACGAAAAGCAACCGACCAACAAATTTGACAAAAATTCCAATGACGAAGAAACTAAACTGGTGGAAATGGATTTAAAATTAAAAAAAATCGAAGATTCCATCATTGACGATGCGCTAAAATATACCGGGGCGCACGAAGACGCGAGGGACTCGAAGGAAATTCAAGACATCAAAGATAGTGTTATATCCCGTTTGGCGGAGGCGTATAGCTTGGAAAAAATGCGACAAGCGTTACGTGAATACAGAACTAGCATCGCCCAACAGCGAAAGCAACTGCAGGAATCGGGAAAACTAGATAACGGGTCGTTCTACGAAGAAAAGAGAGTGTCCGTTCCTAGGAAGGAGGCTATAAATGAAGAAAAGGAACGAACAGCTGAAGCAGATAATCGCATCAAATGCACGCGCGAAGGAGAAGATTGTGATGAACAAGTGTACAAACATTCTGCTGACGTTTTAGATGAACAGTCATACTGGACCAGAGGTAATGCCATTTTGATATTTTTTAAAACCGGTAATGTGGGTTCGTGAAGTTAGCAGAACATTGACGGCACAAATGTCGAGACTAGGTGGATTGGTTAGTGCTACGTTTGTGCCGTAAAAAGTTTGTTAGCAAAACATACGGTTTGGAAATTATTTCGATTTTTAGATGTTCTGCTAATAGGCCAGTCATTGAGGATTTTTACCTGGAAATAACTCGGGAAGTACTGCAATTTTGTATGCTTGAGTGCGTAGAACTAAAATTCATAAAATGCACAATTCTAAACTTGCCGCCGGGGCCGCCATCTTTCAAAGATGGCCGTCAAACGCGGTTTTCCGCCGATATCTCCAAAACTGTGCATTTTACGAGAAAATATGTGGTGAGCAAAATTAAAGAGACGAAAATTTCCTACAAAAATGTGGTTAACATATTTTCACTAACGTTAGCCCTTACGCAGAAAAGCAGAAATTTTTAATAACCAGTGGCGTATATTTTATCCAAATAATTCAATAATCAGTTAATTAATTAATCAAATTGATTAATCAATTAGTCTATGATCAATTAATTTTAAGTAATATTAGATTCTCTATTTACGCAGGCCTGACGGACCTGGCGGTTCGTTAATGTCACTATTTTCCATGCCGAATACGTTTATCCCTATTTCGGTCGGGATCAACGTCGGCTTCTTTGAATTCGTCGGATTCTCCTTCATTCGATAAAGGAATATCGATACATATTACACAAATTACGTTTGGTTTGTGCTGTATAAAGTTTGCCGGGAAAATATACCCTTTCGAAGTTATTTCGATTTTTAGATGTCTGTAGATGTTTGCTATAACTTCACACACTTTTGTCGGCACAAATTTCGAGACTAGATGGATTGGTTAGTGCTACGTTTGGGCCGGTTTGTGTGGTAAAAAGTTTGCCCATTGCCTTTGAAGGTTATCTCAAGTTTTAGATGTTCTGGAAACCTTGTACACTTTTGTCGCTATACTGTTGAAACTAAGTATAATGTTAATGTCGCGCATGGGTTAATGCTATCTTTGTGCCGGAGTGTATAGTAAAAAGTTTGACCAAAAAAGGAACGGTGTGAAAACTCCCAGCACGTTTTTAATATTATAGCTTTCACACAAGCGTAGTGTGCTTTTGATGACACTTTATTGTCTAATTTGTTGGCAATTGTATGCCATACATTTGCAGATGGTTTGTTTATATAATTATATTCCTTGTGTTGGAGAAGAACGTGTGTGTCAGCTTCGTTTTTTCAATGACAGCCTTTCGCGGTGTGTTGTACCTAATGCAAAATAATTGAAGTTACAATTAGATCTGCCTGTAGTGTACTTAGTCATTCGTGATTGGGTCTCCAAATGGTAAAGTACTCAGGGGATAACTGTTATATAAGTCCAAATCTGCTAAACTCGATTGCACTACATGAAATAGATAAGAATCCCTAAGTTCCGCCGTTGTATATAAGTACAAGATAAGTGTAGGTACAGTCAGGAAAAAAAATTTCGGACCGAATCGCATGTGTTTAGTGGAACACCTTGTATATTTTAATGTAAAAAGGTTGCATATTAAATATTTTATTTTATTTTTGAGTGGGCGGGGTTTTATCCAAGGTCGCTCTACCAACCCAACCCACTATACATTTACAAATATCTATGCCCGAACGTCGATTCGAACCAGGGACCCATAGTACCGCACTTCAGCCTTAGCTGAATTACGCCACACGGTTGGTTGGTTTTCTTTGCGATTTTTTTAAACTTTATTACTTTAAGTCACAGTAGGCTATGAAAAACAATTTTTTATTTCGTTCTCAAGTTTCTATAATTTTTTTTATTTACTTTCTTGTGCCAGACTCTTTGTCTGTTAAAATGTTTCCAGCTTCAATGTCAACACAGTTTAGTTTCTAGATCAGCTTATGTTTCATATTGCCTACTGTGGTTTAAAGTAGTAAATAAAGTGTATTTAGGTAAATTGCATATATCATCTACAATATTACTTTTCCGCACCCATATATGGGTAAGTATTGTTTTCATCACAGAAAAAAGTCCGTTGTCCGGGTTGTTTTTAGCACGATAACTCAAAATTGAATGGGACAAATTGCGTACCTTTTTTCAGTCCTTGCCGCGTGGATACGGCACCTATTAATCTTCAAACTGGTAGGCCGTTTTCTTCTGCGCATGCGCAAAAGTAACTTTGTTACTTATGGACCGATCTTACTGAAATTTTAGCATTAGCATCCTTTACTAAGGGCAAATCGGTCGATTATCTCAAACATATCAAAAGCTTCTTTCGCGCATGTGCAAAAGTAAATTTCTTATTTGTTGACAAATTTTTGTGAAATTTTAACGGTAAATTAAATTGAACATCCATGTAGTTAATTGCCACATCGATTAGATACTTTGCTCAATAAAAGGCGAAGCGATGCATCACAAGTAAATACAATAAAAGGAAAGTGCTGGGTCTCAACAAATGCTACCGTGCGGAAAAGTTAGTTTTGAAAAAACACATTTTTGATATTGATATTGAAATTGATTAAAGAACAACTTCAAATACTCATTTAAAAGCTTGAAACTGGAATCCAAACCGTAAGGTTTTTTTGACGGTGGATTACAGCATTGAACATCAAAATAGCCGCACTTAAGAGGACTATACACCGAAGGTAATGAGATTTTGCAAATAACGGGCAAATGGTTTGAAAGAATTATCTGAAATTTTTTTACTGTCATTTTAAATTCATAGTCTACCATGAAAAGTGTTTATTATGACCATTCCATGCTATAGTAATTTAATTTAGAGATTTTAGTCCATAAAACAATATTCGTATTTTATTATTATTAATGCAAAAAAGAAATTTTCCTTTCAAGCGGCTGTGAGGTGGCGCCGCCTAACGAAGTAACCAAAAGTAAGTGCTAAGTGGTCGTCAGAAAAAGAAACAGTGGTGCATAGTTTTCTTGCGTAGGAGCGTGATGGTGTGGTTAGAACTGCATATCAATTAGTCACGTGCAAGGTCACGTGCTATAGGTATGGCGCTCTTAACGTAAAATTAACAAATAATCACATACAATATAACTGATTGATTTAACTAATAAGATGTGAAAATTGACATGTCTATCGCCATAGAAGATGGCGACGACTAAAATAAAATATTAAAATTAATTGATCATAGACTAATTAATTTATCAATTTGATTAATTAATTAAATGATTAACGAATTATTTGGATAAAATATACGTCACTGGTTATTAAAAATTTCTGCTTTTCTGCGTAAGGGCTAACTTTACATTTTTTGGAGGAAATTTTCGTCTCTTTAATTTTGCTCACTACATATTTTCTCGTAAAATGCGCAGTTTTGGAGATATCGGCGGAAAACCGCTTTTGACGGTCATCTTTGCAAGATGGCCGCAAGTTTGGAATTCTGGATTTTATGAATTCGAGTTATTTTCATGTAAAAATCCTCAATGACTGGCCTATTAGCAGAACATCTAAAAATCGAAATAATTTCCAAACGGTACGTTTTGCTGGAAAACTTTTTACGGCACAAACGTAGCACTAACCATCCACCTAGTCTCGACATTTATGCCGTCAATGTTCTGCTAACTTCACCGACCCCGGTAATGTCAGTAAAAAACCAAATCGTCGCAAAATTTATACTTTTACTAATTTAATAATTCCATTTCCTTGCAGGAGACTGTCCACAAATTGAAATGGCGTGTAATGACGTTGCGGAAGTATTAGGCATCTACGGAAGAACTCTGGAGCCAGCATGTAACATGCATCAAATCTGCCTTTACTGTGTATGTATAGATGCGACTTTATAAAAAAGGATAATAACAATTTTGATAATTACAGGGTGAGAATAGTTGGTTTGCTCCTACTCGCCAGTGCAACGTCCTCTTCTTGGCCAAAGCTGACGAGCTTTGCGACGGAGATGTAGAATGCCATAAGATCGCTAATCATTCAGTTCGATACCTCTTAGACGTTTACAGATCTGCACAGATGGAACATAAAAAGGAATGTAACCTGTCTTGTCCTAATAACAGACGATAAATGTGCTAAATTTTTGTATTTCATGTTTGCGTATGAAGCAAAATGTAGTTATCATTTCAAGAGGATATCAGTTGTTATATTTAATTAGGTGTAATTAAATTAATCTTATTTTTGAGATCTAGGTACTAAAATTAAGCCATATCCAACTCATTAAATCTTCAAATTTAATTTGTTTAATAGTACATGGATGTTTAATTGCATGTTATCAATTTCTAATTATTGTATATTCCATGAGTGTTGCTTACTTATAAATTATAATCAAACATTGGTAATAAATGTCACATAAACTGACCCACCCTTGCTAAATTTCTAATAGTAATCTTTGAATATTGTGTTCATCAAAAATATTCCAGGCACTTTACAAAAAAATGTTAGCCATGTTTAGTTAAGATTTTTTAATGTCGTCGATGATAGTATACACTAGCTCGTTTGAAAAATAATGACAATAAATGAGTAATTATGGCAAAGTATTATGTCTTGTAAATTGGATACCAATATGCAACGTCTTCGGCTGAATCTTTGGAGCTCAAATTACGGAATATAAGAAGGCATCAATTGAACTGGTAATGAACTAACGGGCAAAAGCGTCTTTGATAAAACAAATTTCGTAAAGCTAGTGAGTCTGAGAAAATGTCTTTATGGGATTCTTATGACACTTAGACACCAAAGTATAACTAACACATAGGTATTCAAAGGTGGCCAACATTTTTCGATTTCAAATTTTAACAGGATCCGGTTAGCTTTTGGGGGGAAGAGCCATTCCGGTAGCCATTTTATAACGTTGCCGTGTTGTTACTGTAGTGTGAAGCTGGCGTGGACCCTGGGGATTAAGTACACTACACAATCGAAAAATAAGTCATAATCTTATGTCACTCCACAAATGATGGGAGTGCTGAAGAGCATACCACTAAATCCTAATATAAATATCACAACAAATTAAAAAAATTGAATCAAAGAAAACGCGATAACGGGCTCCCGTTACAGTTTTTAAACGCTATCGATTATAATATTTGTGATTGTTCAAAGGTCAAAGTGTCTAAATGAAAGATTTCAAAGGGTTTGAATTTTTCATTGTGGCCCAATTGGGTAGGTACTATTTTGAGGAGGGTTTTTTCATAGATAATTAAGAGGGTTTTTTGCGATCCACCAAAATGGCGCATTTATATGTGGCGGCGTCAGAAGTGAGTACCGACAAAGGGCAAGTCAAACCTTCAAACGTAAATTGCGGATGAAAGAGACGTCGGAAATGGATACGGACAAAGGGAATGTGGTAGCCCCCGACAAGATCTTACTGATGGTGGAGTCAAAACTGGCTAGTGATGCGGGCCTCGCTAACCAAGATGCCGGCGGCGGTATATATTGAACCTAATGTGACCGGTTCTCAAGATGTCTGCAATAAAAAAAGAGCTCGGCTTCTAGGCTTTTTTTGAAGGCAGATTATCCCTTCTCTAATTTTTATACTACATTTCTTCCAAATGGAATTGTGATTCCTAAGGGGCCACAAAGTCTATTCACAAAAGTTAAATCTTGGTATACCGTTCGCTTTAAAATTTGCTTTATGTCCTTAACGTAACTTACCAACATAACCAAATTCAAATTGACTATTTAAATTAGATTTTTCAAAACTGGTAAACCAAATTTATGCCGACGGCTAGCTATTATACGTTCAAGGAAAGTGGACATTTGCTGTAGGCATACCTGAAAAAATTATCAACGCTGCTGGTATGATCTCCAAAAGGTTGATGAGAAAAAAATCTTGCAAAGGAATGCGGCTCGACCTTTGACATCCCACGCAATTGCACAAAATTACGCAATTCGTCGCTAAACTAAATGTTAAAACTGTTATCTGCGAACAAATAGCGACAGAGGTTGAATTACGTTGTGCAGTTTATTTTTAGTCCACTTCCCTAGTTTCAGGGCCAAAAAGTGCAAATCCGCGCGATTTCAAATTTCAGCTGCCATTAATTCATGACTCATTTCCAGTTTCACGATGTATATTCTATCGTGGTTTCACGCGGCTTCCCGCGAGCGAAATCCTCTATCGTCGTTTCAGCGCGATCTCGTTCTCGCGTGTACCTACTTACTAATTTCTCGCCAATTGTATATATTTTTAATCGTGCGACGCGAGCACTATCGCGGCCTCGTGTCCAATGCCCCCCGGCTATTTCTGAACGACCCAATACCCACCAAAATTACGCCCATTAAACATTCGAATCTGTTCCAATCAACTTAAGCATCTTTCAACCACTGAAAGTCCAAACCGACTGCTCCCATCATATCCGCGTTGATTCAAAATTCCGTCGCATCGGTAGAAACGAAAACACGCGGCACTCTGGTAATGAGAGATTGTCACGTAGGTAATTCTAGTTAATCCATTTAACGGGTACTACGCGCTTCTGCTTACGTTGACTTAAACAGTCACTTTGAAAGACGTATTAGATACAAGTACCACTGCCTTTCTTCTATAACACCATTATTATCACCAAGATTGAACGTCATGCATAAACTACGCTCAACTACCGCCGACTGGGATACACCAAAACCCTCCACCACCAAAAAAGCAACTATTCACGTCTTTCTCTGCTATTTAAAACAATTATTTCCATTCCACTTCCATGTGCGCCTTGGAATAAATTAAATATCTGTGTTCACTATGGCGAGAAATCATCTGCCATAACACGTGCTTATCGTGAAACTAATTACCCTATGCAGGATAACGCTCTTATCGCAATGACCGGAGATAACTATTAAGTGCGTACCTTAGTCTATTTCCTCGATACGGATCTCCATTTCGTTGTCTTGGTAACGTTACTATCGAATTATAGAATCGTAGCTAGCGTTCTTTTCTTCATCGGCGGTGTTAAATCTTTTTAAAATTCGGCATTTCTTCATAAGAGTTGATGTCATCCCTTATCAGTATAACCTTTTGTGAAACGTGCTCCTCGTAGTGCCTCGTTACGGAAATTTTGTACTCCCTTCATATAACCTCTCGTATATAATTTAATTCGCCGACCCGGGTGAACTGACATTTTAGACACCTCCCCTGTTTGTTCAGGTCCGTCCACAGAACCAGGACTTCCGTCGGTATTACTATTCCACTTTCGGCCTTCGAATCTATCTCTTCTTAATTTTTGTTGAAATTTCTTTTTTTTTAGACGTTCTTTATTAAATTAACTTTCGATTAAATTATCACTACCTACCCCTGTAGGTAATTAATCCTGTATGAATGGACCTTTACAACTTTTGCGCCACTAAATTCATCAATACGATTTCGCTTTTCTTGAATAAACGTCTGGATACCAAAAAAAATGTTGCCCTAAGATAAACTCTCTCTAACTTAAATTTAAATATCGACCTAACTTTCCGCTTACCTAATGCCCCACGTTGGGCGCCAAATAAAAATGCTATGTGCATTGGCAAACAGTCACTGAACCACCCATAAGCACCTGTCCAGTTAGCTAAATTAAACACAGCTACAACCAAAATCTTTTATACGAAATGATTATAATTTTTTCAGGACACGTTCAGTGTCTGCTACTACGAAAAATCTCGAAAAGACTTTAATTTGATTAATTAACACATTTTTATTTAAACACCGGGCATGAGTACCATTAGGAAAATTTAGCATGAACTCTCTCTAGGTCGTAATTTGGGCTCGGTTACACACAAGATACATTTACTGACTTGTATTAGACAAAATCAATCAATAAGTTGAAAAAAAGAAAGCACACAGTGCTTACAAACAAAGTCCACGCCACAAGCGATCGATTGAAACAATTAATTAAAGAAAAGTTAATTACCTACCTTAACGTGTTAATCCAAAATATCCGGTCGTAAATGCAATTTTCAAAAAACAAAACGCACAAACACAGACACCGACAACCAATTGCTGTTGCTGCTGGATCTTCACTTTTTTATTTTAATTGCACTTGAATGTCGATATAGATGACACTGGGTTCGTTTGAATTACTGAGAAAGGCTTCACATAATCGATAAACGCACGAACGACAACTTTTTCGTAAACGTACTACACTACTTTGAACGACGTATTAGATAAAATCAACTGACTTTCACCTTTATTATCACCAAGACTGAACGTCTTGCAACAAACTACGCTGACTGCGATACACTAAAAATCTCCACCACCAAAAAAGCAACGATTCGCGTCTTCCTCTGCTATTTAAAACCATTTCCAACTGCTTCTTTGAATAAATTAAACGCATGTGTTCACTACGGCGAAAAATCATCAAATTGAAATTCACACATAGAGGGTGACCCATTGTTATTATAAGTGCTGAAGTCAAATAAAACATCCGCATGGCATAGTTTACACAATAATATTTATCTATATTTTACATCCCACATTGTGTTTGCTGTACGCAAAAGAACGAAATTCATTATTATTTATTAAACAATACTGCAGCTTGATTAGATGGAGAAAAGCACATTGATATTTATACAGGGTGGCGCAACGAAAACGAAATAGACTGAATAACTTGTAAAGGAATAGTTTTTAAAATAAACGCAAAAATATTTCGATTTTGGTTGGTAGGGGGGCATCTTTAACTTCAAAATTTACAACCCTGCTGTCAATCCCCTAAGCAGGGTTTACAACCCATTCGATAATTTTAAATTGAACGTTGGGTCGAGTGACACGTCATTGGAAAGGGCTCTTAATTTCCTACACGCCTATATGGTTTATTTTTCAAATTTGAGCTTTGTTTGTAGGATACAGGGTGTCAAATCACAAATATCTTCCAAAATAGTCGCTCGAATTTGAAAAGTAAACCATAAGCGTATAGGAAATTAAAAGCCCTTTCCAGTAATGTGCCACTCGACCCACCGTTCAATTTACAATTAATGAAGGGGTGGCAAACCAGCTTAGGAGACTGACAGCAGGAGTGTAAATTTTGAAGTAAATGATATCACCCTTCCAACCAAAACCGACATGTTTGTGCGTTATGTTTCAAAAACTATTTCTTATATTCATAGGTATTCAGTCTGCTTCGTTTTCGTTGGGCCACCCTGTATATTTCAATGTCAACAAGTATTTCATGATGAACTTTAAATGTATTTATTATACAGGGTGGTTCAAAAAGTTGTTTATATCTCAGGAGCATAAGAATCAAATATGATAATCTCGTCAACTGAACAAGATCTTACCTTGTATCCTTGTATAGAGGGTAACAACTTACCTTCTAAAATCTGTTAGGGTACTGCAGTCATCTAAGATCTGGGAGGGTGAGTCACTCCAACTGTCAACAATGTAACTTTGGTCCATGGTTCAAATGGTGAAGAGAGTAAACACATTTCCAATCTAAATCCAAAATATAAAATGAATAAAATAAAAAAAAATAAAATAAATAACTGGTGCTTAGTACCCAATGTGAAAGTTCCCCCATATTAGATTTTTGTTTGTCTACAGCCTGTTAAATTTTGAACTGAATTTTTTAATTATAGAAATCGTATGCCACCACCATTCAGGGTTAAGACACATAAATGTATACACAAAGAAAACTAAATTTATAAACAATTCCACATCCGTGATTTAATTCCCAATAAAAGATTAAGTACAAAACGTATTAAATTGTAAAACATGCAACTATAATGAACCAATAAATACAAAAAGTATATACTGAATTAGCTAACCCTAAATCACACAACAAACATTAAATATCTTCGACCTTTCCATTGCAAGGCGTAATGAAAGGTTAGAGATAACGACAATGGAAATAACTTAAACCCAATACTGATTTCTACGCAACATTATATTATTTCTAAGTTGGCACGAAGGATCAGACGCATCACAGCTACTCCAATCATCCAAATGTTCTTCAATACCGTAGGGATAACGAGTGTGTGTGTCGCTTAACGGAGTGACCTTGCATTGTGGAAGAGTGGAAGGAAGAGAAGAGTTAAATTCGTCGTGTAAATGTTGCTTAATGGGAGATGGCGACGTCATAAGGGTATCGGGAGGGCGTGGTAACGGAATGGGTTGAAGGGACTGTGTATCTTTGGTGATATCAGGTTCAAGAGCACGACATTTTATTATTACGATTACTGTGACCCCCAAAACAATTACACCAACCACCATACTAACTACAATTACAAGTGTTAAATAACGACTAATTAATTTTATACTTACCAATTAAAAAATAGTCTCTAGTCATGTTGGGGCTAGCAACGTGCGTCGCGCCGTCACGTCCGGCAGGATCACTCGGACTGGATAACGTCGTATACACATCCAATTGTGAATTTGCCTTGATCGTAATTTTTAACTTTCCCATTGCCGGCTGAAATATGGTTGCCGCGAGAATGAAATGTAATTCGTCGCTAAGACCGTCCCAAACAACGTCTAAGTCTCTTGTTATTAAGTAAATAAGGCCACTTTGAACTTCTTCGTGTGTAAAACTGCTTATCAACGAATCAAGTACATTTCTTGTCTGTCCGGAGCTACGAATTATTTTCCGCACCTGACCGTACTTGGGAAACTCGACTATGCTGTACGAGGGATTACTATTAGTCAGTTTCGCGAGGGGCGTCGCATCTAAAACGTTGACACCTATTCGATTGCTTGTGCCGGCAATAATTGTGACGTTTCGTATTTGCATCAATGGTTGAACTTTCAAGGTCACGTCGACTAAGTCACCTATCGTCGTGTTGACGACGTTTATGGTCACATATATTCTAATACTATCATTTGCAGTAGTCATGTCAGTTTGCATGTACATAACTTCGCCGTTATCCAAATGCGCCTGCTTAAAGGATGTAGCCGGAGCATCTTTTACATACACAACACCATGTCTCGGTCCATCCTGTATTACATATTGTATCTTAAGTACATCTGCATTCGTCTCAATAGCAAACTGTTTCCGAGATAGCAGTACAACATTCGAACCTTGCTGGATGTACAGTGGAACTCCTACGGATACATTGAACAAAATCGGCGTCACTTGAATATTGAAAACTGTGTAATCGTGGCGAAATTTTCCGTCCCAAACTCTCAAATGGAAAACGTCCGCCAGCAAAACCCCATCGTGAATATACACTAAACGACCCATGTCGATATCATCTTGAGAAAAGTGGCTAATTGGTATACCCTCGGGCAACAAAATCAATCGACCTTCCGAAGGTGCAGTAATAATATCGTAAAGTATATCCACAGGTGCAGTATCGGGATCTTCAGTACACAACTCCATATTGGTAATCGTGTGATTTTCGCCTTGAACGACGACGAAGTGGGGCGCCGGTGTAACAAGCTTGAAAGGTTGATCGTTTATCGGGTCGATTTGAATCGGAATCGTAATGTTGCACAAAGTAATATATCCAGGCAGTAGATATAATGACAAAAACACATTATCTTCTAAGGTATCTGAATGATCATGCTGGTAGTACACTTGTCCATTTTCCAACTGGTTTTGGGTAAAAGTAGTTAGATTAGATTCGGGTTGCAAAAAAACCTGGCCGTGGATCGAATTGGTCACGGTGGACGCGTGAATTATAGGCGACTTTAATCCGGAGTGGTTTTCCAGAAATGAGACTACTCCCGACAAGTTGAGCTTGATGTTCGTTATGCCACCTTCATCTACTCTCACCTTGGGAATGTTTATGTATGCATCTAAGCCGCCCGAAGATACTGATATATCGATTTTAAATTTCTATAACAAATACACTCGTTAGTGAAATTAATTTTTGATCGTCCTCAAGACTTTGGGCCATTTTACCCATACCTCCCAGAGCCTCCCCAAAAACGTTTACGTTTGGCACTCACATGAAAAGGACCAAACCTGTCTGAGGGGTATGGAATACGGAAACAAGTTAGAAAGTCAAATGACGAGGCGTATTTTCCTCCTAATAATATCAATGCTAGGACCAGGAAAAAATACCGGTAGGCACGAGATCCTTACCCCATTCTCTTTCAAATGAGCCGCCTATCGTCGAAGTCTATACGGTTTATTCAAAAATTGTGGAGCGTATACAAATAATTTAAAAAAATGCTTACATATGATTATTTAAATGCTTTCATAAATTAGAGTTGGCATTGCGCAGGCGCAAAATCAAATTCTGAAACGGTTCTTAGTTTTATTTTTATGAAGTTTATTAAGTGCGTATATAGGTATTAAATTTCATTTAGATTCGTAAATAAGAAAATTGGCATTGCGCATGCGCAAAAAACCAAATTGGAAACAGATTTTATTCTAAATGTCTATGTGTCAATATTCATTTAAGTGTTTTTATAAATAAGAAAATTGGCATTGCGCATGCGCAAAACAATATTTTGAAATTGAATTTTACTTATATTCATAGTATTTGCATATAAAGTTTCATTTAAATATTTTCATAAATAAAAAAGTTTAGTGCACATACGTTAAACTAAATTTTTGAGACTGCGCATGCGCAAAACCAAAAAATATCGATATGCACGGAATCCTTGGACCAAGCCCTTTCAAACGAGCCCCATATCGCCCAAATGGATTAAGTCGTGTAGAAGGAGTGACACTCACATGAAAACGAATTAATTAGTTGACCCTTTTCCCTAAAACCATCACTGTCGTGATAAAATCAGAAATGTTCTTCCAGCAAAGTAAGACACACTGACTCTTTCCCAATTACACCCCCCATCTTTATGGTATTTTATAGAGTTTGCGTATACTTGGGAGCCCCCCTCTCCAGACCTCCCTCCCCGATGCTACATTCCTTCTCAGAAACGTTTAGGATCGGCACTCACATGAAAAAAGTAATCGGAATTTTCTGATTTTCTTTACAGTATGATAACAAAATTGCGCAACTTTTCCCTAATTGGACCATCTTCATAGCTTCCATGGTCTCCATGATAGACATTCTTACCTTGGATACAGTGTGCATCTATATATAGGATGTTAAAATATCTTAGTAAATAACAAAGTTGAGACGCGCTTGCGTAGAAACGGAAAGTTAATTGACTTTGTTTTAATGTGGCCCACTCTACACATTGCAATCTGTGAATTAAAAAAAAAACAGCCTTCTAAATAATCCTGGTATTGAGATCTCAAACCCTTAGACGGATGGTCGGACGGAATTCACACAGGTACTGCACTTCTGGTTACCTGTTCACCCCGAAAGGTGCGCTTCCAGGTGTAGCCGTGCCTTCGGTTGGGTGCTTAATGTGCGAGGCGAAGCCGAGCAATGGGGCATCTGCACTCGGATCAAATAATAACCAGTTCCCTTCTCCAAATATTGCCTGTAAATGGCTGAGGGTGCGGTTTTTTACGTTGGATTGCTATATCGATCGCTCGCAGTCTAGAATACACGGCGATTTCAGTAAATGCGCGAGTAAACGCCTTCGGTACTGTGTGGCGAGGCGAACACGCGTATGAGAGGTGGCATCGGAAACGCCGATGCGGTTTTTTACGTTGGTTTCCTATGTCCATCGGCCACGTTTTAAAATAGACTGCATATAAATGTATGCGCCAAAAATCGTACTGCGCACGCGCAAAACGCAATTTATTTATGGAGCAAATTTGATCTTCATTTCGATGGTAGGTCTCTCTAATAAATGCAAACACAATTTATGCACAAAAAATCATACTGCACATGCGCAATATGTAACTTTTTTTATCTATAGAACAATTTAATCGAATTTTCTGAGGTAGGTCCCTCTAATAAAAGCGAAGGAAATGCACGCACAAAAATTGCACTGTGCATGCGCAAAACGAAACTTTCTTATTTATGGGGCAATGTAATCGAAATTTCTATTGTAGGTCCATTAATAAAAGCACACACAATGCCATGCGTCGAAAAATCGCACTGCGCATCCAACTCTCTTATTTATGGTCTCTCTAATAAAAGGAAACACAATGCACAACGCCTTTTAATTGAATTTTCTATGGTAGGTCCCTCTAAAGGTGGGACTCCACCAAACTGGGCTACGTGCGTTTTCGTCAATTTTGCGTATTTGTCAAACGGTACGTTGTGTACGTGGTATATCTGTATTTTGTTTGCTTTTTTCTTCAATTTGAGTCTGTATTTTGTTTTTCACAACGAAGATATACCATATACCTTAACAAAAAAATTTCGTCAAACAATCTCGGATGAAGAACAAAAACTCTCTGCAAGCAGACACATCTGCCCAGTTTGGTGGAGTCGAATTTAAAATCTGCGGCATGTTGTGCCGGCTGCAAGGCCCGAGATGTCGCCGGGCTAGCCTAGTTTGGTGGAGTCCCATCTTAAGAAAAGCAAAGATTTACTAAAAAAGAAACCATCAATTTCTTGGTGCTTTTTTGAGCCAAATCAAATTTCTTTTCGGTTTTTTCGCCTTTTACAATATTCCGACACTTACACAATCCTACACTGAGAAAAATGGTCTAAATAAACTAAGTTGCTAGAAGTTTTTACTTGCTGTTAATAAAGTTTCTACTGGTCGTTAGTAGCCTATGCTATAACTGTAAATGAAAATATGTTTATACAATGATATTTTAAGGGGAAGATTCTTACATACTAAGGATTATTATTTTTTATACATTATACAATACTATAGATATAGTGAACACTTTGCGTAGTAATGGGTATTCATGTAGTGTTCATAATAATTTATATCTGCAGCAAATCATCATTTTTATATTTAGCATAAACTCAATACTGAAGCTTAGTAAACGTTTACTAGGGGGTAATGAATTTTTGCATATGTAACTATTACGCATGTGAAATTAAATGATGAAAATGCAAAATCTGCATTATATCCCGGGCGTGGCGTGTCAGTGTGTGTCTTGTTATTGTAATGTGTAGTTATTTTTCGTTGGGTTGCGTTGCGAGTTGCGATTTCGCCGTTATTAAGTTCTAGCGTTGTTCTAGTGCATAATGACCTATAATTATTACGATCTATTAGAGCAGTGGGGATTGACCGAATATAAATCTGTATTTATACAGGTATGTATTTGTGCACCTTATTTGATTTATGTTGTTTTCACCTTTATGAAACATTAGAATATCATTATTCATTACTCTTATATACTTGTAGACGAAGGTATTGATGATAATAGCTTTGGGCTGCTGGACAATGATACTATTACTATTCTCTTCAAAAAAATTGGACCACGGTTGCTTTTTAAAAAAAATACGCAGAATACTTAAATAACCTTTGTAAACAGTCCTGGACTTTTGAAGTAAATAATTCTGGTGCTGAGACAGTTGCGGCACCGGTAGAGGTTACCTATTTTAAATTTATCCCCGTAAATAGGCATTTAAATTTTGGTTTTAGTGCATGGATAAATTTTATGATCCACACCAGAGTTATTTGGAACCAATAGCCAGTACGTCGCAATCATCATCAATCGTAATAGAACCTGACGAGGAAATTAAATCCATAATATCAAATTCTTCGAACAATTCGTTAATATTGTCGGAGATTTTCTGCGACAATACACATAAGAAAGCGAAAATGGATAAGGCGGAAGACAGCATTTTTCCAAATGTAAGTTCACCTCACATCAGTTACACATTTTTAAACGATAGTTTGATACTCAATCTAATATTGCTGTTTGCATTGTTTAATTTCAACTGCGTTTAAGGTTAATCATCGTAATCGTCAGGAACCGTCACCGTTTAAATTTTTTGTGCAATAAACTGCTACCGTTGCACTAAAAAAACAATATAGTACAGTGCCACCAAGCTCAGAATGTCCCCGGAAAATATGCGAATTAAATTTCGAATAATTCAAAATGGCCAATAGCATTCTCCAAATCGATGGCGGTACATTCGTCACTATAACTTCACTGTTTGTCAGTTTTGACAGTTTACGCTTCGTTTGTGATTTACGTGCGCTTCACGATAATTTCGTTCCCTAGTTCCTTTCTTTACATTTTTGTCACTATAGTTTTATACAAATTCATCTTTTTTTAAGACGCATAGAGCCCGGATTTATGGTATGTAAATAGCATGTTCCAATTCGCTTTTGCATCTGAATGTACTATGTAAATGTATAGCGCCCTCAGACACGCCCCCTCAGTACCTTGGTACTAGTGCTGGACGATAAATGAAATTATTATCGATTTATCGATAAGTCTGTTAAGTCCGATAATTATCGATTAATCGGGAGTCGATAATTATCGATAACTTTCGATAATCTTCGATAACATTTTCGATAATTATCAATAATTTTCGATAACAGTTTCGATAATTATCGATAATAATCGATAACAGATTCTACAATTATCGATAATAATCGATAACAGATTTATCCATAATTATCGATAATGATCAATAAATTGTTCCGTAACTATCGATAATAATTCATAACAATCGATAACTTTCGATATCGATCAATAATACCTAATCTATATTTTTTGACAATAATGAATAAAGACGCTAACTTTCGATAATAATCAATAACTTTCGACTACAACCGATAGTACTGGGTAATTATCATCGATTATTGTTGACACCTTCCAATCTGCCATAATTATTGATATCTACTAGATAAGTATATAATTTTGGAGTTGTTATTTTATGAATTTAGTACTAGTGCTTTTTAATGTGCAAACAATGGATGAAACTGCGTAGGTACGTGTACGTTACTTACGTACTTGATCTTCCAGCAACTGTACTGGTCCCATTATTTTGAATCTGGCGCAAAAAGTGTATAAGGCTTTTTTGTAGAGCTAATCAAGGCACATCTTTTTTA